CTCTCGGTCCAGTTAGTATTTCTCGGTGCTGGAACTGGGCGGAAAAAGCGGAGGTGATCAGCTTGTGCCATGACTCCGTATTATGCATGGAAGGAAGCGGTATGGAACTACTTCCTGTCGGTCCATTACGACTCCCCAGTTTGTGTACTGGAGATACTACAACTCAGTCGCTTTAAACATAGTCAGATTACTTGAACTGTATCTGCGATTACACACTATTCTTTTTCACTTTACTTTTTGTTCTTCATTGTACTCCCCTTCTCTCCTTTACTTTTCAGTGCGATATCTATATTTGTGTAGTGTATACTATTTTTTGGTGCGTAGTTGTATCGAAATGTACATAATAATTAGAAATAAACAGGATTTTGTAGTAACAATTTCCTCAACAGTTAGTTTGAGGTGTTATACGTTTTATCGAATTCAATGGTACAAATCAAAACAGCACAAACTTCCAAATACGAAGATAGTTGACGGATTGTGATCAGTGTATTATAGCAATCATAGCCGATTTTAAATGTGTAAAATACACTTTTTCCACTAATAACATTATGAATGAACGCTGTAGTTTACTCCTATGTAAACGAACACTAATTATCAATGATAAATTACTTTTTATATCAGATAAAAAATTACCTACAAAATAAACTGATACACAATCTGTTCAATTTTGAGTTGTATGTAACTCATTCTTTACTTGCTCACTAGTGATTATCCACAAGACCAAAGTATCAAGAGAAAGGTTGATTCGGACTATGATTTCCGATATGTAAATGTGTTGATACAAGCTATTCACTATGCCTAAAACAACAAATCGCACGTTACATTATCAAATGGGGCTTCATCGAGACTTGATGAGGTGGTGTACACTTCAAAAGATGAACACACTAAACAACAAATGATTTGGTCAAACAATATAACTGGATACCAAGTAACAAACAACTAGACCATCATGTCTTCACATTACTGCATATGCAAGGATCTAGGGATAGAGGGGAAAATAGGTCATTATACAGGATTTAAAGCATAAGACTAAGGCAACTGTTGAATTGTGTGGACTGTGATACTGCCCAAGAGTCCAGATCTAAGGTGATTTTCTCAGAGGGCCACACCCGGAGACTTCGACAAAAACGTCTGATTCACTAGGTAGTAGAGCAACGTCAGATGCAGTCTCATGGTACCTGGGGTCCAACAATCAATTCGTACACCATTTGTTCCTTCAGAATCGTGGAGCTCATGTGCACCACTGGTTTCGAATCAGGCTTTTCTTGCTCCCCTAGGTGAACCCTCCAACCCGGTTAGGGCGCCGGACACTGCACGAAAGTGCAGTAAGTCGGACTTCCTTGGCAGTGGCCATGTGAGAGCATTTCGAGAGGGGGAGCTGACTCTTCCTCTCGTCGACCGTACAACAGCATTTGGGGGCGCCAGGACGTATGAATTATCAGTAATTGTTGATAGCTGTGAAATCCAGTTATTGTCTTTGGATACGCAGATATCAAGGTTCCACCTGGTGTGGACGCTGACGAAATACGGGACAATCCCAGCAGTTATTCAAGTACGTTTGCATATATCGCCCAATAAATTCAAAAAGCTGTTTCACGACTGACCTGCATCGGGCCAGGTGTCCAATGACATGGATTTACCGACTGTCGAACTGAACAATGTGGGTAGGTTTTGTTCACCTAGATGCGGTCCACGAGATTATTGTGACGTGGCTTAAAGTAAGTCGCAATATCGCACACGTATTCGATCTGTATACTCCCTCAGAACATGAGTTTTAAAATAGTCTGATACTTTTATCCGAGAATACATTAATTCCTCTCGATTCATTTTATGCCTAAAATGTTTTACTACCACTCCCGTCATTGCTTATACCATTCAGTCATCTCCGTGTCCTGATAAGGTATGCTAATTTGAACTGATCCATATATGTACCAGATTCTACGTTGCGTGTCCCTGACTTCAATTTTATCCTAAGTCGCCAGGTTGTTTGGGCGAACAGACCAGAGAACAACGACCAAAAAGTCTAAAATCCCTTAAGTAAATCGTACTACGATTAGTATATTACACCCTTAAAAAATTGTCACAGAAAGGAAAAACAACTAAGTGTTAAATTCAACACACAATACTTTTTTGTCACTGATAAATTAATTAATGACAAGAATAAAAAATAATGACAATAATCAGGGAACTGGTATGTTTGATCAAATTCCTGAGTGGACACTTTCTTGCATATATAGATAGGGATCTCCTCGTAAAGAGAAAAAAATAAGATGTTTGAGCATATCATCGAAGATAAGTAGGATATACTCGTTAAACTGATATAAGAAAAACAAACACGTAAGTGGATAAAATTCTTACACTTTAAATAAAGTGATTCACCTGAACAGAAATCAACATTGAAGTGAACAACAGTAATTATTGAAATACCGGAGTAAGAAGAGATAGAAAAAGATAAATTGATCAGACAGCAAGAATATTTGAAGCTTTAAATGAATCTCTGGAGATGCCTTAACAGATACACATATTTGTGCTTACAATTAATGATAATTAGACTATTACAGTCAAACGAGGTAGATGAACACATTACATGTCGATTAGAAAGGATAAACAAATTGAAATAACATTCCTGAATTTTACGCGTTATTAAACGCTTTATCATTATTATCTCTTTAACATGATAGTAATAAAAATTATTGAATAAAAGCATTAGGAAGTACATGTCAATCGCAAATGGGGGAATTAGGTTTAGAATCAACAGGGTACCCCTTAGTATAAAACGTAATCTATCGACTTGCTAATATGTATGCATTTGCACAAAAGAGGAAAATAAAGAGAATAAATAATACAGTGAATACATTCGATGGAATTAAAAATAATTTAAATAGAAGCAATATACAAAAAACAACAAATCAGTTATAAGTAAACAAAGTTACATAGAAAAACACCTTATAAAAGTGAAAATTATCGATAAAATATGCCCAAAACAAGTTTCAGAGAAATCAGAATATAACTAGCTAAACCAAAAAAATGAAGACAAGATGCAATTAACCTCGCAAAAAACAATTTAGAGAGAATCATCACATTGAAAGTGCTGATCAACAGATCCGGATACAAGTAACTGCGTATGTTTCGACGTAATATTTATTTTTGAACAGCTTAATAATCACTCCGAAATTGTTTTAAATGATGATAGACGTCGAGTAAGAGACATACGAACAAACTGACAGGTAATTCTTTTCGAAATATATATTATTATAACTATTCATTTATGTATGTAGTGAATTAGAGGGAACAAAAATATATGTATATGAAAACCATTCAACAAATTGTTTTCGAAAATCAACTCATTATTGGAAATGGTATAGACGAAATCGCTACTCACCAAAAGGAGTTACGGGTGTAATGTTGATGTTTTAATTATACAAAATGAAAAATGAAGATGAAATACATGATGTAAAAGAAAGAGGGAAACTTTTAAATGAGAAGAATAATGTTTAATTTTGTGAGAAATTATTCAGGAAAGATGTCAGAAATATGAGTGAGTCAAAGAAAGGAGTGTAAACTTTGAATACTTATAAATATCATCGGAAAAAGTGTGAGTGAACAAATAAAGCATCAACGAAAAGTGTAGAAAGTAAAAACGGAAAAAACACCTGGGTTAACGCACACAAGAGAATGTGTACTGGAAAAACGAAGTAGAAAGGGCAGAAGAATGGATAGTAAGAAAAATTGATGTTTGATAACAACGGAAAATGCCGGATTTGTTGATTATATGTAAAAAAAACACATTACTATTATCTTTCATTTCATCAGGCTGTTTTTGGCTTAACCAAGATAAACCATAGCAGCACTAATACAACGAATGTACAACATTTAGTGATGATGTGAATAATCCAAAAAAGGAAATGTCAAAACCATTACTACAAACAAAAAATTATTTGGAAAAGATTAATTAGAAATACAAACATTATAAACATAAAGTGATCAAAGAATCAAAGAAAAATGAACTTTTCCAGGTTAACTCACTGACTTCCATTTTAAAATTATGGCTTGCTATCAATGCAACCCATTATATTATTATCGGTACTTTCTAAATTACCATCCATGTAAACTTAAATGTGTAAATGCCGGAGAATTGAAATCTCTATATGTGTATATATAAGCGTTAGTGTGAAGGAAAATAGAACGAAGTGTACTACAACCAAATACCATATAGCTGTTATAACAAATCAATTCACCGATAATATGCGTATACACAGATGCATAATGATAAACAGATGATATTTATATATAAACTTGTCAACCGGTGATGGATAATGTTAATTAAGGACTGTCTCTTGTTTAGTAGTCAATGTAAATAACAGCCTATAATAATAAGCCTGGTGATCACAAACATTACATACGTACTTGAATAAGCATTGATGTGAAAATATAATAGGAGAAAGCTTTGCAAGAAAATAAATAAGAACGAGAGAATAAACGTTATAACCACACAGGTCGGCGAAATAATTTAAGAAAAAGTTAAAAACACAGTAGTTGTTCAATTTTTTTGAAGCATATTAATAAATAGATAAACGATGGTGGCAAAAATCAAGAAAATTCAATAAGAAATAAACAAATAAATAAACGAAAAAAACAACATAAAAACAATACCCAAAGCAAAACAAAGGAGCTAAAAAAAATATTACCTGACTTGATAAGAGAGAATATGGAAAAAACCCGGATTGGGATAAAGGTAGTAAGTAACATGAATGGTCCTGCCTTACGTTACACGAGCACAAAACAAACCAAAATTTGTATAAATACCTGAATAGTGAATAACCGGTTCATAATATTCAAACTGTTAGAGTATTTACTTCCATACAAAAAGAGTGACACACAAGCATCAAAATAGCTTGAACCGAGTTATCCAGCAGAGTAAGGATGATAGGCGCTATTATATATATATATATATATATATATATATATATATATATATATATATATATATATATATATATATATATATATATATATATATATACCTGAATGGTTACCAGTTAGGCAAGAGAAAGCACATGCAACAACTTTTTCTGCTTACATGTACTAACTTGGAAAGACAACTGGTTATGAACTGGCAAATTAAGTCGACATACTGTTTCAATTATGATATTAGTAACAGAGATGGAGTTCAGAAACGAACACCACAAAAACAGAGATACAGAAGGCTGTATCATCCCTGGTAAAAAAAAAAGACGACCAGTGAGTAAATAAAATAAGAATGTTCTGAATAAGTTATCTTAAGGTAATACAATAAGAAAGGACGGGATTAATAAAAATTCATAACAGATAAATTTCGAGGTTCATTCAAGCTGCCTTCAAATTTCGTTGGAAAATATACATATGTATATAAGATCAAGTAACAACTATTCCATACGAATTTTAAGTAATCAAATAGATGAAATGTTATTCTTAGAAATATGTCTGAACAAATTAAAATTAATTCATTAATTCGTAAGCGCATCAAAAACTAGAAGTTATTGGGTTATTACTATTTGACGTTGTAGCAGTGCTTCCTACAATTCGATCAGCTAGTTCTAGACTCAATTCTAATTCCAGTGGTTCACAATCATCATCGTAAGATGAATAAGGTTCAACATATTGTCGTAGATCCCTGTATGTACGATCAGTGGATCGAGACTGTACTGGATTTGAAGTAAAAGCTGATGATGGTGACGATGATTGTTGTGTTGCATAATTTGTTACAGAAGAGCGATCTGCTCGTCCTAAATTACACAACTGTTCAGACATCAAATTTCCACTTTGGCTAACTTGTTTCGTTTGAGTTTGTTGTTGTAGGAACGGTGATTCAATATTATGATCAGACATACCGAATAGTGTCGTTTGAGGAAAATACATAAGATCAGGTGGTGTTACTGGACCTAAGGATCTACTCGTATTTTCAATAGCGCTATGCCCTGAACAAGATGTGGATAAAGATGTAATGGGATCTCCTCGTTGTAAGCTATGTGAATCACTTAACAAACGCATATCTAAACCAAGAGAATGGCGCCAAGAACCGGGAGATGAACCGACAGAATTATTTATGGATGGTGATAGAGAAGTAGTTGAATTACCGGAACAATTTAAAAATGGAAGTTTTCCATCATTTGTTGAATGCATTAAATGTGAATTATCATAAAATGAAGATGTGAAATGATTTGCTGGTGTGGATGATTGTAAAGTAGATGATTGAGATATAAAATTCGTTGTATTATGAGGTATTGGATAGAATGAACTTGCAACTGATGAATGTAAATTAGAACGATAAGCTTGCCAATGAGATTGAGCTGCAGCCGCCGCCGCCGCAGCATTAGCTGTAGAAGAACCATGATGATCTGTCAACAGAGGTACAGGTAATAAATGGTGAGCAGCAGCAACTGATGATGATACACGAGATGAATTAATATGATTAAACAGAGCACTGGGATGAAAACTTTGCTGTCTAATAATTTCCAATTGAGGTGTTGTATCCATTATATTAGAAAGATAATCTGTTTCCATTTGTTGTAATGAAGTGCATAAGTTCGAATTATTCCCTGTAAAAGATGATTTACCTGAGTGACAGGGAAGAAATGAATTGCTTGGAAAATGATCCGATGATAAACGATCAATGGTATGCATTGATGAAGACATACTATTTACTCCAACATTTTGATCATTGCGCAACAGTTGTTCAATTAATCCACTTGTTCGACTATCATAGAAATTACAGAATAAATATTTAAATTAAATAACTGTGTAACTGAGAATAGAGACAGTAATTATTCATGTTTTTTTTTGATAAAAAAAGGGATATTTTACAGTCCAGTTTGAAAATGAAAATAAGTGCACAAATAAATTTTGACTTATGTCATTTGAACGAGCGGTCAAAAAAGTAAGCCCACTACTTTCTAGAGACGATAATCGACATGGAATGCAAATTTTCCAACAAGCAAATACCGACAAATCTATAAGTCAGATAAGTTTAACGATTATATATATATATACTTGGTTGATAACAAAACCTTAAAAAAGTTAACGTAATTCACTTTAAATATAGTAGGTAGATAACTTTGACAATGAACAAATACCAGAGGCCAGAAGATTAAGAAAAGTCATTGCGAAAACAACTCCAAAAGCCCATTTAACAAGTGTACTTGGTCATCAGCGCTGATTTTCATGCAACTCAATAATGAGATAGAATTACATGTATGTGTGAACGTTGACGATATTACCAAGTATACACTTATATACCTGGCTTGGGAGCACTTTAAGTATGGGAATAAATGCTTGTATTCTAGCTACCTGAACAAAAGTAAATAGAGAGGATTTCGGAGCTGTAATTCACTAGTTGTGAAAGTGAAGTTCTTTGACATCACTTGACTATTTTCTTCCATCAAGGGATAGTTAGATGGAATAATAGAGGGTAGGAATCTAGTTTTAGGAACATGGGAAGCTTAAAAATACACTCAATTTCTCTTAGTTTTGTAAATTAGGTACAAAGATATTTGAAAACCATAGGAACATGACTGCCGAAAATTAGCCAGTCCGCAGTCGTGAACAAACGAGTAATGATATATTGTTAAGTAGTGAGTAATAGTCGGTGATCCCGACCGTAGCTGCTACCTTGACGTGGTGGTCGGGCTTGCCTATCGTGATGACCCAACCGAACTATATTGGCTGGAACATATGTTCCTGTAAGTTCTACCATGCCAGAAGGGTGACTGGAGAACGGTAAGACTAGAAGCAGCAACTCAAGGTCTGAGGGTGAAGTCGTACTGCTGACTGTACAGAGGTGTGACAGCAGTAAGGTGTTTCCCTCGGACAACCAGCATCTGCAGCGATGCTTCCTTCTCACAAGGAATGAAGGGGTTAAAAAATGTTGACCATAAAAGTGCCACACGTCACCTTACCCCACGGATTTCCGTCTCCGGCGGTAAGGCCGTTTGAAGAACGGAGCCATCAAATTAAAAACTTCCCACAAAAAGGCCGTGCGCGACTGGTCTCAAGCAATTGTCCCTTGTGCTCTGCGGTCACGCACCCAGGTCGTTAACACCAACAATAATCCGATTTCCTTTTCAGGTCTCTCAAGAAATACCCTTCCACGGTGTGGGCAGCCGGGAAGTGACATCAGCCCTCATACAAGTAACAGCACACGAGACCAAGTTGGTCACATTCAAATCCCTCCTACACCTCGTAATAACTCTCTTATCTCCACGACCAACTCTTCTCACGTCCCTTTATCACCTGGCACCGCTAGTGCAAACGATTCCAGTACGCGGAATGTTATTCCTGGTCTCCTGAAACCACACTCCAAACTACACGTAGAAGCTTTCAACGTCCGACACTGTGCGAAATAGGACAACAGGCTTTCTTAGCTAGGAATTTTGAATCTCGCTACATCGATGTGTGCTGCGTCTCCGAAACGCGCACACAGCATCCTAGTAGTGACATTCATTTGACCTCACCGTATCAAAATAACGAACCAACCCGATTTACGCTTCGTGTATCTGGAAGCCCTGATACAGCTTCCCATGGCCTCGCTGGCGTAGGTATAGCATTGAGTTCTAGGGCAGAACTAGCTCTCTTAGACTGAATCCCAGTAGACAGTCGTTTGTGCGCTGTCCAACTAAATGGAACAGTAAGGACTCGAAAAGATAGGAACACTCGTCGTTGCCTCTTCGTCGTCTCTGCCTACTCTCCCACTGACTGCAGCTCAGATAATGTAAAAGATGAGTTTTACAGAAAGCTTTTCGACCTTCTCCGAAAAGCTAGGCGTTCAGATGTAGTAATAGTGGCTGGCAACTTTAATGCTAAAGTAGGTAAACTATGCGAAAGGGAGAGACACCTGGGTGGATCTTGTGGTGTCTCGGCTCAAAGAACAGATAACGGTGACCGTCTGTTGCAGCTATGCTCAGATAACCGCCTGTTTCTTGCAAACACTAACTTTAAGCATAAGGAAAAACATCTTTTGACATGGCGACCCGCGGAATCGTCCCAACGTTGGACCCAGCTAGATCACATCGCTATCAGCCACCGATGGAGGGGCTCGACAGAAGACTGTCGCTTATTCTGGAGCACATGCTTAGACTCAGATCATGCTCTAGTGCGAGCGCGTATTTGTCTACGTCTTACTGGACGTAGGAAACATGCTGCAAGGAAACCCCTTAGGGTCCTACTTAGTGATAGTCAAACTAAGAGTATATTTCAGGAACATCTAGAAAAACAGTTAGACAGCCATGTAAGTGACGCCCAACCCGAAGCAGCGTCGAATGATATCCGAAAAGCTGTGAAAACAACAGTAACATCTGCTAGTAAGGTCAACCATAAGGTTAGGAAGAAACACTGGATCTCAGCAGCGTCTATCGCACTAATAGATGCTCGAAAACTCATTCCATCTGGCTTTGAACATAACGAAGAACGGAGTCAGCTTAAACGTAAACTGATTAGAAGTCTACGCAATGATTGTGAACAATGGTGGGTAGAGAAAGCAAGAGAGATGGAAAAGGCAGCGGCAATAGGTAACAGCAGGCAACTGTTCAGACTTGTTAAGGAAACTGGTATTAGGAACCAAACTGCTAGCGAAACTATCTCCGAAAACGATGAACATATTATTCATTCTCAATCCAGGAGATTGGATCGATGGGCAGAACATTTTAGGGATCAGTTCAAGTGGCCTTCAGCCACACATCGGTTTCTCCAGTCGACCTGAATGGCAAGTTAATGTAAGTCCTCCGACTCTTTACGAGGTTGAAAAAGCTATAGGAAATCTGAAGCGTGGGAGAGCAGCAGGCCCTGACAGGTTTGCCTCTGAGATTTTCAAGGATGGCTGTCCAGTATTAGCAGCGAGATTGACTGAGGTCTTAGTTAGAATCTGGGATCTGGACGTAATCGCATCTGACTGGTCTCAATCACTGATTGTGCCAGTCTATAAGAAAAGACAAAAGTCTTCTTGTGACAATCACAGAGGAATCAGTCTGACTAATATAGTGTCTAAAATATTAGCTTCAATAATACTTCGACGCCTAACCAAAGCTCGTGAAGAGCAGACTAGAGAAAACCAGGCTGGTTTTCGACCTGGACGTGGTTGTATAGATCAGATATTCACACTACGTCAGGTTCTAGAAAATAGACACACATTCAGACGCCCCACAATGGTAGTATTTCTCGACCTTGAGGCGGCATTTGATTCTGTTGATCGTGGGGTTCTATTGCAGTGTTTGTCACTGAAAGGAGTACCAAAAAAGTACATTAACTTTATAAAGACTCTCTACTCGAACAAAACTGGTCGAGTGAGAGCTTATGGTGAACTGTCATCAGAACTGATTACCTCAAGTGGTGTTTCTCAGGACTGTCCACTCTCTCCATTCTTGTTTATCTTTGTCACTGACGTGCTTTTAGAGATAACTCTTTCCACATCTGACTTTCCAGGGCTTGAACTTCTACCGAAAGATTCACTTGTTGACTTAGAGTATACCGATAACATAGTTTTATTTGGTGAAGACGCTGACAAAATGCAGAGTCTGCTGACTACTCTAAGCAACAATGCAGGCATGTTCGGTATGCGATTTTCTCCCTCGAAATGCAAAAGGTTGCTTTAGGATTGGGTTGCATCGACACCCGAACTAGTGATAGGGAGTGAAGTTGTTGAGCGTGTCGACTGCTTCACTTATATTGGAAGTCTCATCAGCCCTTGTGGTCTGGTGTGTGACAAAATCTCAGCACGGATACAAAACGCTCGACTAGCTTTTGCCAACTTGCGTCATTTGTGGCGTAGGTGAGATATCCGTCTATCAACCAAAGGACGTGTTTACTGCGCAGCAGTTCGTTCCGTCCTACTTTATGGCAGTGAAACATGGCCAGTAAGAGTAGAGGATATTCGTATGTTACTAGTATTTGATCATAGGTGTCTTCGTAACATCGCTCGTATATCCTGGGACCACCGAGTAAGCAACTCAGTTGTTAGGAAACGGGTACTAGGTAAGGATGGCAAATCAATTGGTTAAGGAGTGAAACTTAATCATTTGAGATGGCTGGGACATGTGTTGCGCACGCCTGCCCCGACGCGCGATGTTTTATGGTGTAGGAGTAGGTTGGAAGAAAGCTAGGGGCGGCCAGACCAAAACATGGCACAAATCCATGAAGTCACTGACAAGGGGACTGAGCCATGTTTGTTGGCGTCCGCGAGATGATAGCAACCGATGGTTAGAGACCTTGAATGACATGGCTCAAAATCGTTTGCAATGGCGCAGGGGCATCCACTCTCTGTGTTCTCCCAAACTCTAATCTTCTGTATTCTTCATGTCCTTTATTTTCTTTCCGAATCTATTCCACTGGACTATACTCCTTAAATAACATCATCAAACCCTAATGTTCCCTATCACTACTTATACTTTTGGTATCTCTACCACTACGGGATTTGAGACGATAACTGAATCTCTGTGCTAACGTGGTGTGGCAACTCGAACTGATGTACGTACGACGAAGTTACTGACTGACAGACTGAATAGTCGGTGATGCAAGACAGTTTATTATAACCCCAAACAAAAATTTCAACAAGCAAACGTTATGATGACAATAAACAGAGAAATTTAGGAAGCATGTCTGATATTATTTAGGATGCACTAATGTAATGAAATACGAATTATATTACGATGACTAATATTCACAAAAGACAATAAAATCTTCACATTGAAGGGAACCGCGGAAGTGACAATAACTATACATAGTTGACTTATGAATCAGGTTACTTTATGCCCTCGAATACTCAAGAGAAATGGAAAAGAAAACATGGCATTATCTTCAGTTGATCTTGACTATATACAAAGGTGATTCATAACCTCATCAACTGATTTACCATCATTACCTAATACCCTGCGTCTAACCTCACTATTACTTACCCGATGATCTCAGCAGATGCGAGCAATATTTCTAAGGCACCTGTGGTCAAATACTAGTAACTTACGAGTATCTTCTACTCTTAGTGGCCATGTTTCGCAGCCGTATAGTAGAACGGAACGAACCGCCGCGCAGTATACTCGTCCCTTATTTGATAGACAGATATCTCGCCTTCGCCATAGGTGACGTAAGTTGGCAAAAGCCAAACGAGCTTTTCGAATCCGTGCTGAGATTTCGTCAGACACCAACCCATTAGGGCTGGTCAGACTTCCAAGATAAGTGAAGTTGTCAACGCGTTCGAATACTTCACTCCCTATCCTTAGTTCAGATGTTGACGTCGACGAGTCCTGAAGCAACAACTTGCGCATCTCAAACATCCCGGCATTGTTGCTCAGTGCTACCAAAAGACTGCATTTTATCAGCGTCTTCACGAAACAGGACTATGTCATCTGCGTATTCTAAGTAGATAAGTGGACCTCCTGGTAGGAGATCAATGCCCAAGAATTCAGTCGATGAGAGCGTGATTTCCATCAGTAGATCTATGATGAAGTTAAATAAAAATGGTGAAAGTGGACAGCCTTGACGGACACCACTTGAGGTTGCAAAAGCAGATGACAGTTCACCATAAGCTCTGACTCGACTAGTAATGTTCTAGTAAAGAGCCTTCACAATGTTTATGTACTTCTGAGGTACGCCTTTCAATGACAGACACTGCCACAGAACTTCTCGGTCTACAGAGTCAAATGCTGCTTTTAAGTCAAGGAAGACCACCATTGTTGTGTTAATCAGCTGTGGCAACTTGGAGAGATGCATATATGTTCCTGGTCCTACGTTTTAGCTAACCGACTGACCTACACGTTAACTTACTTGACCTTCATGAATAAATACAGTAGAGTATTTGTATTGGTTACGTGTCAAAGGAAAGTCAAACGAAATGTACTTCATGAATAATAAGGCAATGAATATTGATAACAGAAAAATAAATTCTAGTTCGGAAACTCTTATTTATGGACGACCTTTGGATGAATATAAGCGACCTTGAGAATATTGGCCAATCAGCAAACAGTCAGTTTAGAGTAAAATATATTATAAAAAACCAAGGAAATAAAGTGGATACACTTCTTATACCTGGTTCAAAAACTTGTGAAGGTTGGAAAGAGGTTCAGAAGTTCTAAAATCGTAATGCATGCAACAGAGGAAATCATCCATATGGCTACAGAATAGTCGGCCTCTGGAGCCATGATAAAGTCTCAAAAACTCTATCAGCCTCGAACACATAGCTTCAATATTGTTTATGTGCACACCGGTTGTTGAGTACACAAAATGCCACTTGTGGATGACGACACGATGCACACAACCAAGCATACGTGGGAGTCTGTACGCTCTCCAAACATCCGAATATATTGTGGTATCTGGCTGCAGCCAGCGTTACTGGTGCTTTTATTATCCAGTTCGCTATAATTGTCATAATTTGCCTTAGTTAAGAATTATATATGGGGTTTCGATCACGAAATGACATCAGCTATGATGCCAGAAATCTATTTAGCCAAATGAATGAAAGGATTTCGCGTTAAAATCCGAGATCTGTTATCTTATACCTGATCAATTAGTCCACAAATTATAGTCTCGCCGTTTTATTTGTTATAGTCGCTCAATTATCGCTTTTTGTACAAAATTGTCTGAAAACCGATCGTAGGTTAGCTTTAAGCACTGAAGTTGGCGCCGTTACCTTGGCATCCCTAAAACGCTTCTGACTGGCTCGTCCATAAATTAGTCTCGCATCTAGTTCATCTAATTAACCAATATAAATGCAAATTTTGTGGACAACTGTTGCATTTGCGTGACGATAGGCCATCTACTTTGGTGAGAAATTATAAGAATGCCACATTACAACTTTTTTATCAACTACTAAAAATTTCTGATAAACTACTCAAAAATCTAATTATTGCAAGTTCGAAAAGCGAAGATTTGTCCACATCCACTATACCCCTATTCTAATGTTTGAGCAGAAAATCGAATCTGACAATTTCAATCAATTTCATTTCTGCTACAAAAATTCAAAGAACTGGAGTGATGGGTAAATGAATTCCTCAAGATTAGAAATACCGAGCTTTTTGATACGAAAGAAAACATAGCAAAACTGCTTAAATAAAAACCCTTGTCCTGTTTTTAAGCGCTGATCAGTTTACAGCTACTGTAGTACGTTTTAGACAGATACGGGGATTTCCATATCATATACTAAATTCAATACTACTATTACTACTACTTATCTTCAGTATTTTTTGGGGAAATGTATTTTACAGTTGCAACAATGAATAGGAGATTTTGGTAACACCTATACAATAAAGAAAATATGACTGTTTCTTGCTGTTGTCATCCGTGCTATAATAACTACAGACGTTTTCACGAACAATCATCAAAAGGGAACAACACAAAAGTTTCAACAACATATAGCATTGATGAAAATTACCATCGACTCGGTGGTTGGTCAGTAGAACATGACAGACCAGAGAATCCCGAGTTGAATATCCCGTTGGGAGGATTCGAACTATATACTTGAGAATTCGATATATGTGTTAAAGATTTTGCATTTTGCCAGTGAACACTGATACAAGTCGGTATTGAATTATTATTGTTAGTAGTATTTGCTTGTTGTGAACAATGATAAAAATTCAAAGATTTAGCTGCGCTACAAGTGTCAACACATGGAGATGATGATGAAGTCAAACAATTTAGAACATTTGCTTCATTGTAATCCTTACTGCATTCGGTATTTGAACGACTGTTAGTAACTTTAGTAGATGAATAGTTAATATCCAGTGGATACTGTAGCTCACAAACAGGTGATAAAGAAGGTTTAGTAATGTCGCTATCGGCTGAAGGCACATGAATGCGATGACCAGTAGGGTTACTGGATACGGTCCGGTGAGAAACACTACCACTTGATCGGTTATTCATTTTCCCATAATTGCCAGACCCAGGTCTCTTTAAATTGGTAGTATCCATAGAACAAGCCCGTCGACGTACATATGGCTTAGCGGCTACGTCTGGATTAATTCTCCAATATGATGACTTTGTGTTGTCTGATGATTTTGGACACTTTGTAAATCGATCATGTAATGACAGGTTGTGACGGATTGAATTCTGTCAACAAAAAAAATGTGCTTCATTTTTGTATCAGCATATATGTAAATGCATAAAATATCCTGCTATCTCAAACATAGGAAGAGCAATAATAACACAACATATTATACACTACGATTGAACAAGGAAGTAAAAGAAATAATCAAATCAGTGAAAGTAGAGCACTTTGTAAATAAGCCTCAGATTTCATTTGTCAATCTCATATAACTGATTGCTAGTCAAGACTCACCTAATGTAAAATTACTTATACTAATGCTAGTACTACTATTCAGTCTTAGAAGACATTACTACTCCAAGTGAAATACATAATAAAAACCTATAATTTCTTGTGCATGATGCACATTATTATGCTCTCACTTGACATTAGTGTTAAGTTCGAAGTTCTCGAAGCCGTCCCAACAATTATCCGATAAACAATTTCTGATAGCAAAAGTCAAGTGTTCATAATGATATAATGTTCATAGGCACGGCATTTGGGTGTCGTTGTCCAAATGATTTCTGACACCCAGTGAAAACACAGTATTAATAATACTGAAGTTCAATATAGTTAGCGTCACTCTCATGAGATTTCGACGTCGGTAGCTTGAATAACATCGCAGCCTCTCTCGGTCCAGTTAGTATTTCTCGGTGCTGGAACTGGGCGGAAAAAGCGGAGGTGATCAGCTTGTGCCATGACTCCGTATTATGCATGGAAGGAAGCGGTATGGAACTACTTCCTGTCGGTCCATTACGACTCCCCAGTTTGTGTACTGAAGATACTACAACTCAGTCGCTTTAAACATAGTCAGATTACTTGAACTGTATCTGCGATTACACACTATTCTTTTTCACTTTACTTTTTGTTCTTCATTGTACTCCCCTTCTCTCCTTTACTTTTCAGTGCGATATCTATATTTGTGTAGTGTATACTATTTTTTGGTGCGTAGTTGTATCGAAATGTACATAATAATTAGAAATAAACAGGATTTTGTAGTAACAATTTCCTCAACAGTTAGTTTGAGGTGTTATACGTTTTATCGAATTCAATGGTACAAATCAAAACAGCACAAACTTCCAAATACGAAGATAGTTGACGGATTGTGATCAGTGTATTATAGCAATCATAGCCGATTTTAAATGTGTAAAATACACTTTTTCCACTAATAACATTATGAATGAACGCTGTAGTTTACTCCTATGTAAACGAACACTAATTATCAATGATAAATTACTTTTTATATCAGATAAAAAATTACCTACAAAATAAACTGATACACAATCTGTTCAATTTTGAGTTGTATGTAACTCATTCTTTACTTGCTCACTAGTGATTATCCACAAGACCAAAGTATCAAGAGAAAGGTTGATTCGGACTATGATTTCCGATATGTAAATGTGTTGATACAAGCTATTCACTATGCCTAAAACAACAAATCGCACGTTACATTATCAAATGGGGCTTCATCGAGACTTGATGAGGTGGTGTACACTTCAAAAGATGAACACACTAAACAACAAATGATTTGGTCAAACAATATAACTGGATACCAAGTAACAAACAACTAGACCATCATGTCTTCACATTACTGCATATGCAAGGATCTAGGGATAGAGGGGAAAATAGGTCATTATACAGGATTTAAAGCATAAGACTAAGACAACTGTAACAGCTGCCTAGTTCGGTTCGAACAACTCTTTGATTTCCGTATTATGGTTCTTATGACATATCGCAGGTATGTGCATCCATACTCATTGAACTATATATTCCGAAAAATGGAGCTCGGAGACATTTTTTGAGGAAACCCATGAAAACCTGAACAAGATTTGGATTCATAACACGTAGTTCTTAGATTACTGTTAGCCTCAGATTTCTCACTACATGAGCCACTTTGTAATTGTTGCTCTTCGGGTTACTTAGAGATAATACTCCTTTTGTCTTTCCTATCATATCATGGTGATCTTTACCAAGAGTGTGGGTTACTCACAATGTATATAAAGATGAGCAGAAATTCCTTTATTAGACAAAAATTGTTGAGAATTAATATATTAAGCTTTCGACCTTACTGATTTATTCTCCACGGTCAAGTTAGCGACCATAATACACACATTCATTAGTTATGGATATCCTTTCCATAAAAAAAGAATGAAAATTGTGATATTTGTTTAACGAACGAAGGCTCCTTAATAGCCTTTGTTTGTTTTAATTGTCTGATGTCACAATCCCAATACCCTAATAGGAGGATGTGCTGATCCTTGTGGCATAACACAGCTACAATATATATATATATATATATATATATATATATATATATATATATATATATATATGGACTGAGACATAACATGTGTACATTCTCCATGTGGAATTTACAGTCGAAACATGTATTGAATTAACAAATATAGATAAATGGACATAGACATACACACACACATACATATATACAAGGAACGTGGATGGTAAAGATGTGTAAGGGTAGACAGTATATATGACCTTCAAAAATCAAGGCTAAGAGAGTTGGTCGATGAATACATGAGCTAAACGGGACAAAATATGTACTTTTAGATTTTGGTAGAATGGCACGTGGTGACCAGTATCACCAAAGGACAGTAGACTGATCGTATCAATATAAATAAATAAGCAAAACAAGAATTAAAGTAGTACTTAATTGGGTATATGCTGACAGAGCGTAAACTACGGAAATTATGTATGCTGGAGATTTTGAAAAAACTAAACTGACTAATTATACGAAAATAACAAGCTTTAGAAAATCGCTACACAGAATACTTTGCTTTTATTGATGAGATTAATTTGTCAAGTTTACACTTATATACCTGGCTTGGGAGCACTTTAAGTATGGGAATAAATGCTTGTATTCTAGCTACCTGAACAAAAGTAAATAGAGAGGATTTCGGAGCTGTAATTCACTAGTTGTGAAAGTGAAGTTCTTTGACATCACTTGACTATTTTCTTCCATCAAGGGATAGTTAGATGGAATAATAGAGGGTAGGAATCTAGTTTTAGGAACATGGGAAGCTTAAAAATACACTCAATTTCTCTTAGTTTTGTAAATTAGGTACAAAGATATTTGAAAACCATAGGAACATGACTGCCGAAAATTAGCCAGTCCGCAGTCGTGAACAAACGAGTAATGATATATTGTTAAGTAGTGAGTAATAGTCGGTGATGCAAGACAGTTTATTATAACCCCAAACAAAAATTTCAACAAGCAAACGTTATGATGACAATAAACAGAGAAATTTAGGAAGCATGTCTGATATTATTTAGGATGCACTAATGTAATGAAATACGAATTATATTACGATGACTAATATTCACAAAAGACAATAAAATCTTCACATTGAAGGGAACCGCGGAAGTGACAATAACTATACATAGTTGACTTATGAATCAGGTTACTTTATGCCCTCGAATACTCAAGAGAAATGGAAAAGAAAACATGGCATTATCTTCAGTTGATCTTGACTGTATACAAAGGTGATGGTAAATAAGATATCTTCAGATTGACTACAAGTAATGTTTAATTTGTTTATTCTGGTTAGTATTCTTTAGCAATGTTCTTTTCTACAGGATAGGGATGATGACCCAATGCCCAAACCTACGTTACAAATGCTTGAGGTCGGAAGTTGCCTTGAAAGAACAACAGGCGAAAGACCTAGAAACGACAACGGAAAGAATTGCAAGAGAAGCAAACCTGAGACAACCATATGATATAACGAAGAAACTAACAGGAAAATATTGTAAACCAGACTGACCGGTCAAGGACAAAGGAGGCAAATCAGTCACCGAGAGTCAAAAACAGTGGAACAGGTGAGTGCAGTACCTTGAAGAACTCTTGAATAGGTCATCTACATTGAGTCCACCAAACATCGAAACAACACACACAGACCTTCTCACACACATGGTCACCAGACAAATCAAAATTGGGAAAGCAGTAGGACCAGACAATATATCAGCTGAAGCACTGAAGTCAGACACAGAAGCAACTACAAACATGCTCCACACTCTATTCACGGAGATTTGGAAGGAGGAACAATTGCCGACAGACTGGACACAAAGAAATCTCATCAAGATACAAAAGAAAGGAAATCTGAGCAAATCTGCAAACCACAGTGACATCACACTACTGTCAGAACCAGGAAACGTTTCCAACAAAGTGTTGTCGAACCGGATGAGAGATTCAGTAGACGCCCGACAGTATGGACCTCGTGCACGGACCAAATCGCGACATTACGGATAACTGTTGAGCAACCAATTGAATGGAGTTCGTCACTATACATCAACTTCCTTGACTATGAGAAGGCGTTTGACAGGGTCGATAGGAGAACCCTATAAAATCATCCTCGATACTGTGGTTCACCTGAGATCGTCAACATCATCCAGAATTCATACGACGGGCTACACTGCAAAGTCGTGTATGTAGGACAGCTGACAGACGCATTCCATGTGGGGGCCAGTTTCAGACAACACTGCTTATTCTACCCCCTTTCTCTTTCTTTTGGTGGTTGACTGGATTATGAAGTCCTCGACATCTGAGGAGAAGCACGGAATACAATGGACAGGCTGCATGCAACTAGACGACTTGACTTCGCAGATCACCTAGCTCTTCTATCTCAAACATACCAACAAATACAGGTCAAGACAACCAGTGTAGCAACAGCCTGTACAGCAATGGGCCTCAATACACACAAGGGAAAAACCAAGACCCTCAAATACAACACGGAAAACACCAACTCAATCACACTTGATGGAGATACTCACGTACCTAGACAGCATCATCGATGAACAAGAAGAATCTGATGCAGACGTAACGGTGAGGATTGGAAAAGGGCCGTATTCCTATAGTTGAAGAACATATGGAACTTGAAACAACTGTCAACCAACAAGAAATTGAGAATTTTCAATACGAACGTCAAGACAGTTCTACTGTACAAAAATGAAACTTCGGGAATCACAACAACCATCATCAAAAAAGTATAGGTATTTCTAAACAATTGTCTTCGCAAGACACTCAGTGTCCGTTGGCCGGATTCCATCAGCAACCTACTATGGGAAAGAACAAGCCAACTACTAGCTGAAGAAAATTAGGAAAATACGTTTGAGGTGGATAGGAATAACCAAACTGCATCATGAAGCAAGCGCTAACTTGAATCCTGAAAGGAAACGGAAAAGAGGAAGACCAAGGAGCACAATTGGAAAGGATTGTCCATTACAGAGGTCGATGGAAAATGGTGTTGCACGGCCTATGCTCCTTTACGAAGGTTATAAGGAATATGTAATTATGTAAGTATAAGTAATGTTAACAAGAAATATGGAAGAGACAAGATATATCTGTCACCATAAAGTTTCGCTTATTAAATCTTTAGGGCATCAACAACACTATATGGCTTCGCAGATGAATTGGTAGGTTAGGACCAATGATCCGATTGCTGTATATTTGACAATTAATTTATTTATTTGAACACATACATATTGGTACAAAGGGACATCAAATACATATGCGCCACACAAATCTCATTTGATTTGTGTGGGGGATGTGATACTGTCCAGGTGCCCAAGGCGAAACAGGTGATTTTCTTAGGGGGCCAGATCCAGAGCCTTTGACCTAAAGGTCTGATCCACAAGGCAGTGGAGCAACGTCAGGAGATGCAGTCCCATGGTAGCTGGTGACCAATAATTGGTTCGTACGCCATTGGTTTGGAATCAGGGTTAGTAATACGTCAATTACTCAGTAATGAAATAACAGTTTTCGATTGGAGCTGAGATCGGTCAAGAGGTAGTATATGTGAAGGTACATCAGCTACAACAGATCATTAGTGCTACGAAATCTTAATCGATTTGACTGAAAGGTTGTACTGGAACATTCGTTATGCATCGCACTGACTACTTTAGAACTTTGATATGACATAAACATATTCGTCATCATAGCTCAAATATTTCATGATACATGTTAAAAGTGCTTATTTGATGAGTAAGAAATAAGCCTGTTAGTCAATTTTGATGACATTAAATCATGTTTATTTTTCGTTTTATAGTCTGTATGTAGGCATATTCTTTTATTAAATAGGTCTATTCTTCTGGTTAGTGGTTTTACTTTTGATACCAGTTCATTCGGGGGAGATTAGTCAACAATCCAGTTTCGTGAGTGACCATCACTTGGCCAAATCTTATTGTTGTATTCATCTGACAATCACTATTCTATTAGTTCAAGTTAATTGTCTTAAAAAGTTCCTCAATAGCAGATGTTCTTTAGGATAGTCAATAACTATTGGTTGGAATCTAACACGGACATTGAACGGTTTTGGCATTTAGCAATGTTTATATATTTAGAAATATACAAAAATTTACTTTGGATCTTAAGACTGTAGAGGAACGAACCAAATGATTATTCACTTTACAACTATGTTTGATATAGCATTTGTGTATTCTATAAGATATCTATGTTCATAACATTTCTCAGTAAGATGGCAGAAGTGTATGCATAGAATCAATTAATTGTAATCGCCCACATATTTTATAGTGATTCATCATTTTTGTATTCATTAGGATGTTCATATACCTATCAATAGATAAATGCGCATAGAACTTGATCTATAGAATTGTGATTTGCTAACAAGCGATGATCTAACACAATTGTTTGATACCCTCTCGATCTGAAAACACAGGTGAATCCAAGAGTTAAAACTTTCTTTTTGAGAGGAGATAGTGGTACTCTGAGTACAGCCGGACAGATCATACATAAGTTTAGCCTGACAGGCGTAGAAGCTTGCATTAATGGCAGAACTAGACCACAGAACGAAACACTGTTTTTCGCTTGCTCCATAGTATCTAAGCGTCAGTAAATTGTTCTCAACAAGGAAGCATCAAAATCTAATATCACTCATTTACCATTTACAGGCTTGTGTACCTGGGTGTGGCTCAAACCGTGAAGGCTACCGATAATACTCGACTTTCCAAAATTGAAGTAAGCGGGATATAGTTCGAGTCTTGGACACTGGTTGGAAGCTTCTGGGATGCTGTGCTTGCCACATTTCTTGACGCCACTAATAATTTGTGGATGATCTCCACTAGAAACAAATGCAAGCTGAAAAACCTAATTATTACCATATAACCACGTCATTACTAGATGCAATTTTTCGGAAGCGAAGTTGTTAAACATCAACTTCAATAACCACACTAAGCAATCACAGCTTCTAAAAAAACAGTAACCGAAATTCTAGTCAAACCATGTTTCACAACAAGTAGAGAACAGTGAATACAATTCGGTAAGTAATAGCAAAGTCATCTCCAAAAATTGCCATAAAAGACTTTAAAAGTTTTAAAAACTGTACACTATACTGTTTGAAATATATCATTCTTTATTTATTAACCGGTAAATCCGTGTTGTTAAATGAACATACTACACAATACATATCGTACATCTCACATTATGAAAATTAGTGTAAATTGAACTAGTGTGAATGTAACAGTTTTTACTGATTCACTTGGTTTTAATCTCATATCTAACTATAAATTGCCGTGTTTAAATTTGCATAAAGGTCTAGCTGTGCAGTCAGATTAAATATATTGAATAAAAATGTGTGGTTATGTTTAGCAGACTATATAAGATTATTAATAATGCTTTCTGGATTGGCAAATGCGGTATAATCGTAGTTTTGGACCTTTTGAGTAGCTGATCACCTCAGTATACGCTAAAAAGTAGACGGGATCAGTGAAATATCTCTGAATGATGTTTGGATTACTTTTACGACTCTTTAAGAAAAAACAAGCAAAACCAAGATGAAACTTTATTTGAAGTGATTGAAATAAGATGTTTTTTAAGATTTGCATGATAATCATTCAATAAAGGCGAAACAGTCAGACGATTGGCTAATATTTGAGTATGTCTGCAGCCCAATAAACCTCACATATATACATTATAAAAATACGCGGAAATAAAAGGCATAAAAATCTATTATTATTTTGTGGGTGGAAAGTCATCCCGTGTAATTAGGGTTTACATGTTTACACTCGAACATTGAAGCTGACTACTTAGAAATCAGTAGGGTAGGAAAAAAAAGAGGGACAGGACCATATAAATAAATTTGAAATAGTTGCCGTAATGACATTCCTTCGAAAGGCAGGCTAGTGGTAAAGAAGCAGTCAGTAAAAAATGTGATCTCAAAATAGCCATGACAGACGTAATATATTGATGGAGCAATAAATGTCTGTTAGCCCTGATCAAATGTTGTGTCTGTAAGACTACCAGTCTAGTAAAAGATAAACAATAATATGTGAGGTAGAATGGCAGAACAAAACCAGTCTAGGATATGTGTCCTTAGAACAAAGGTCATTTGGGGAAGAAAATAGTTGTTCAACCTTCTAAACAATAAATTTTAAAATTTAAACGATATTAATTACCTAATTAACAAGCGTAAATTACTAGTAAGCCCTGGTGTAAAATAAAACGATAGTGAAGGTATATTATGTTTACCTGTATGTACATGCAAAGCGAATATATCAGATGGCAATGAAAATTTACTGATTGAAATATTGATATATACTAAGCGAAGAAAACCTGAAAATCACCTTGGAATTTAAGATGATAACTTGGAGACTGAATTTTAGATTCAACAAACTCATTCACCAGGTACTTGGGTGTGAGTCACACTATATAATTAAGGGTTAGATATACTACTTGGTTCCTCGAGATCAAGGTAGTGGGGGATATGAACCTAGGACTTAGTGACTAAGAGTCGAACGGTTTAACCGCTAAGCCACCCCTACTGATATTTTGAATAACATAGTACAAAAAGACACAACCACCAGTGCTTAATTGATTTATTTTTGCAAGGGATCGACATTAGAGAAACACAAATTTCAATAACTAATATCCATCGATTAAGAGGTGGGTAATGTGATACGAATACATTTAGTTGAACTTTAAGGACTGGATGTATTACAGAATCTTTTTACTGTAGTATCGAATGTAATTAATAAACTGGTGGTAGTATTTTATTTACTACTACCAGAAGTTGCTCAAAAATTTTGAATATAAAAACAGAAACAAGTGTTATATGAAACGAAATATTTTTACTCACCTTCCATCCAGCAGAACTTGTTGGATCACTGCGCTCCCGAAAATACTCATAATGAGTAATTATGAAGTCATAAATCTGTTGTAAAGTTGCTTGTTTATCTGGATAAGAACGTATAGCAACTGAAATTAAGTCTGAATATGTCTCAGAACCCCAAGGATTACGTCTTGAAGACTTCTTAATAGGAGTTGTGCTAGTTGGGGCAGATGCACATGCTGAAGAGCCAGATGTAGGTGTATTTCCGACCGGTGTGCCAGATCTTGAAGCGTTTGATGTTGTCATAGCACGTGGACGTAATAGTGAACATGGATGAATATTTGGTAGTACAGATGGATCATGAAAGTGAGTTATGTTAAGATTTGTTGAACTCCCGACACACTGTTTTTCTAACCCGTCTGATAAAAGTGCTGATCGAAGAAAACTATCGCATGTGATAGGATTTCCGCTTGATATACCAAGACTTGTAGTGGAATTTAAATAAGAAACAAAACTTGGTGTAGAAAGCTGAATTAAAGTTGAATCAGGTGACATTTTAGGTGACTGAATACTACCTTGATTACCTTGTTGTAACTGACCACCTGATGGACTATGTTTTGAAGGCATTGCTTGATCAGGATAAGATCTAATCGTAGAAAGCGATGAAACATCTTTATGCTCATTGGTGTTTATAGATGACCCAGAAAGTATGGATAGAGAACAGGGATTAGAAACAAGTGTATCACGACGAATATAAGAAGCGGACATGGAATAGTTGAGGTACAAAAATTGGAATTTTCTGAACTAAATTTGTTATAAGATCTTCGCCCAGTAACAACAATAATGATGACCAAAAGAAAATGTTTTAATGAAGTTAAATATGAATAAACGAAAGTATAAGACCCAGCTAGTAAGCACAATAAAAATGGCGCTTTTAGTAAATGAGGTAGCAAACGAAAATTGAGTTAAAATACAAGATTTCCGCGTATATATAAATGTTTAGAAAAATAAATGAAGTTATCGAAAAGGTAAGGTGCCACACAAGAAAAATCACAATTATGTGGCCATATGGCGCTTTTACGTAGTAGAAACCTAAACAGAAAAAACCATATAATACCACATTATTAAGGCATAGACAACAACACAGTGTTAAAGATACATAACTGAATGTTTAAAAGCTTTAGGAAGACATCTAAAATGCATAGATTTAAAGCTGTTGATCATATAAAACAAAATGAAATCCCTGACAACGTGGGAAACATAAGCAAATGAATTAGAAAACCTATTGGTGATCATTTAAATAATAATCGTTCTATTCACTGTATGAAGGTAACCATTAATATTTATTTTTATTTATTTTAACACATAGATATTGGTACAAGGAAGCACCAAATACATATGCGCCACACAAATCTCAATTGATATGTGTGAGGGCTGTGATACTGCACGGGTGCCCAAACCGAAGTAGATGGTTTTCTTAGGGTGGCCACATCCCGAGCCTTCGACCTGAAGGTCTGATCCACAAGGCAGTGGAGCATCGTAAGGAGATGCAGTCCCACGGTAGCTGGTAACCAACGATTGGTTCATACGCCATTTGTTCCTTCGGGATACTGGAGCCCATGTGCACCGTTGGTTTGGGATCCGGTTAAAGCGCCGGAAATTCGCTTTTCGTCCTCTCATTTTGGTAAACAACACCCCCGCCACGAGAAGACAGTGAGTAAGACTTCCCTGGCAGAGGCTATATACGCGTGGCCATGTGAGAGCATTTCGAGAGGGAGAGCGGACTCTCCCCACTCTCGGCCGTACCATGGAGTTTGGGGGTTCTAAAGGGAGGACTGTGAGAACTCCCCACTGACTAAAAATACACGCCCGAGCGCACCCGACTAGGGTTCGTCGCGAGTTTCAACCCACCGATGTGCAATAAAGAGCCTCCACACAGGGTCAGAGCACTCCTGATCACTCTGAACCCGGCGCCAGGTAAACACAAATAGCTAAGTGATGGTTTTCCTTGCCTTAAGATGCTTTTACGTATTCATTCTCAGTTTTCAATGTTACCGACTTAAAACGAAGATTGTTACTCCCTATTTTGAGCTGAAGATCAAAAAATTTTTGGAATTAAATTTGGTAACTTACAAATGTTTCACTTATTATGAAATGAGTTTATGAGAATATGTAGACGGGCATGTACATGAATAAGCGTTCTTTTAGAATACTATGGCACCAACCTGCGTCTTTAACGCAACATACCCTGGAGAAATGAACGGTAACTTATACAATCATACTGTAGGTCTCCAACGTAAACTCAGCATACTAAACATTGCCAACGTTGTATAACTGCCTTGTCATCACCAGTAGATAAGACTGGCCTAATAAATATTGAAAGCTGTTGTTAAATTGCTTTCTAGCACAGCCTTCAGAACTAATAGGAATTAATCTATCTATGAATATGGTCATGCCAAGTGTTAGAAAGCATTAGGTGCGCTGTTATAAAAAACACTTGTTAAAATACGTTGAAAAATTGTAGTACATCGTAGTATATGTATTCAGCGAGACTATAATTTATGGACGAACCAATCAGATTTAGGATAACATGTCTTAGATTTTAGCGCGAAATTCATTCACCCATTGGGCTAAATAGAATTTTGGCATTATAGCTGAAAACCATAAATCTAATCCCTAACCTTGACCATCAACTGTAAATCATAATCCTTATTCTTCAAGCTGCTTTATAACCCCCATTAAGCCCTAGTAAGGTGAAAAATCACAAGGCTAATCTAGAGTCGCTTAAAGGTCGTCCATAAATTATAGTCTCACCATGTATTCCTATTAGTATACGAACGTATTTTCACTGTGATTGCCTGAGAATGATTCTCAGAACCATTTGAAAGGATAATAGTATCATCATGTAATATGCCCCAAATTCCCTGGTACGACCGAGAGTGAAGAGAGTCCTCTCTCCCTCTCGAAATGCTTTCACTTTCTTTTCGTGGCGGGGGTGTTGTTTACGAAAATGAGAGGACGAAAAGCGAATTTCCGGCGCTTTAACCGGATCCCAAACCAACGGTGCACATGGGCTCCAGTATCCCGAAGGAACAAATGGCGTATGAACCAATCGTTGGTTACCAGCTACCGTGGGACTGCATCTCCTTACGATGCTCCACTGCCTTGTGGATCAGACCTTCAGGTCGAAGGCTCGGGATGTGGCCACCCTAAGAAAACCATCTACTTCGGTTTGGGCACCCGTGCAGTATCACAGCCCTCACACATATCAATTGAGATTTGTGTGGCGCATATGTATTTGGTGCTTCCTTGTACCAATATCTATGTGTTAAAATAAATAAAAATAAATATGACCCAGTAACAGCACACTTCTGAAATCAAGATCTATCCTTAAAGAATTAACTGTCAAACTTCGCTACTCTGTATAACACAGAGATGAGGGAATAAGTGTCACGATAACCATGCACATAGTAAAGTGAACACCAAAATCCTCACTAACAATCTCTGAAATTGGATAAGTACGCTTAACATGACTATTTTCCCCCTGTAATTGCATAGTTTGATAATGCCAAAAAACCATGAACCCGTTGAGTATCACACATATTTTTTCCAAGGATTCATCTTTTTGGGTTTGGCAGAAGCACTAGTTGCTAATTCGTCTTTATAGTATAGTTTGCCGTAAGGGTCATAGGTTGAACCACGGAGAATTGCTAGTCATTTAGTTCACTTAATTCAACACTACGAATTTGGGCCTCAATACTATTTTATGGAAGAAGACAAAACGCTGATGATAAGGTCCGCTTAGTGTGCTCGTTGAGAGGGAAACGAAAAACACCAGTTCTTACTGAAAACCTGCCTTGGAATGGCGACAGTCATTAGAAGAGACTTAAGTATCGATGAACTAATGACAAGGTTCGAACTAGATGGATTTATAACGTAGAACCAGAGCCAAAGCCGAACTTTTGAGAAAAAAAGTATAACTTGTCACAAATTTATGTAGCCTTGTGACATAATACGTAGGTTGTTGTTCAAAAGAAAAACAAAGTACCAAAGTTGAGACAGTTAACCTAACACTACAAAGTACTGTGAAATCAGAAATTGTGATTTTTAATGTGAGGAATCCGACATATAAGAAATTAGGGATTTTAACCATCTTATTAGATGAAACGTTGTACATGGAACAGGATTACAGACAGTTACCTGAGAAGAAAAAAACTTTTTACACACAGTTGAGAATTAAAACTATATAAATTGAGCTCTGACCTACCTTTAAAAATAATTAACCCAAGATGCAAGTTACAACATGGTGAGGAACATTCTATGACGGAAACCAAGTGCACGGGAGAACATAATTGGAATCGTTCAAAAGCCCACCAAGAGAGTTTCGCACTTAACAGACCACAACCAAAGAGTTCAATGTTTAATACTAAATTGTACATTCACCTCGATTTTCTTCAGTGATTTTCGAAACAGGAGCGGCATAAACAAGCCTAATCGTTTTGTTTTATGGCCCGGAAGCTTACATGATATAATCTAGTACACATCTTAAATAATTCAGACAACGGAGGAGTAACCTGTAATGCATTCAAAAACCCTTGATATCACTAAACAGATTCGGTGACTTGCATTTAACAGGGACTATCATTAAATCGACAATATGATGATCAACACATCGGGATCTGCGAGAGGATAGAAATTTTGTGATAGAGAAACCCTTCAGTGTGTAGCACGGGCAGTACCGTTTGAGATATTTTGTGCTGTTGATATGGTTCATCCTCTTTCTTGAATTGGAACTGTTAAAATTGAACACAGATTTTGTGTTTTTATATAATTTTATACGAGTCACTGAACAGAGCTTCATACGCAATACAGAAGAACATTGTCCTGTCAGATCGAATAAACTTTGGTTCGCAAGTTGTGTGTTCAAACCAAATATTGGTATTTCGGTTGTCATATTCCTTGTAAGTGACATCACGAAATCAGCAAAACTCTGTACCGATAGCCGCTGCTCTTGCATGTTGTTGGAACAACTACACTGATTTCGTTTCGTCAACCAAACCCTTGCAGACAAAATCAAATCCACTCCTCGCGTAAAACTACACTACCCAAATGAATCTGCAGTAGCATTGGACCTATCCACACATTCTTTAAAGCTGAACACTAGACAACTGGGAAAATAGATATTCAATGTTTAACGCGGAGAAAAACACAACGAAGGAGAAAGCGGGAAGAATGAATCGAATTACTGCGAATTCATCGGATGACGTGGCTAGGCCTTTCAGGCGTGGTCATTATGGAGTGTTGTCATATTATGATAATTGAATTATAGTACGAACTAAGAGTCCCAGAAATAACGTAATTGGATCAAGAACTACTAGATAAGCACGAACGAATGTACTGTATTTAGAATTAGAAATCAGGCATTCAACCAGTACCAAGGAATCATTAGTTTATTCAAACACCACACATATACCTTTTATTCATATTAAACATATTGTTATATCTCTAGTCTAAGTGTGTTCTTCATGATATATTGACGATTGTTGCGATGCGGTGAGTTGGTGTAGATAATACTGTGCCTTCCACGTAAGATCTTGTAGATTAGGCAGTTGCATCATGACGAATCTACAAGTTTGGGATTAAGTCTATTATTAGATAGGTACTAATATCTAAATAGACCATGATTCCACATTGGTAATCCCAACTGAAGAAACTCAAACTATTATTATTCCTCTTTTTCACTCTTTCACAGATTCTATTAATCCTCTGATTAATGCTCGCGTGTATTATCGTATTGTACTATTGATTAGTACTAATAGCTTACAAGCTCAATCGATAATAAAAACTGGTCACCTATATTAATTAGCTTTGATGGTTCATTAACAAGCCTTAATAGCACCTACATGCTTCAGCGAAATAAACTTGTTTGAACATCAACCTCTAGCAAATATGACCTGTAAATATCCTAAATATACATTGACTAGCAACGTAAGCAAGGACTAAATAGTTGTCTGGATCTAATTCTTCGTATTACTTCTTCACTTAATGCCTCAGTGTGTTTTAAACTATGCACTATCCTGCCATATTTTTTTATCCTGACCACTTCCTGACTAATTTACAATTACTCAGTCCTATGGCCAAACAGAAGATAAGAATACTAGAAATTTACGTTGAGTTTGAACTATATATTCCCTGCAATCTTAGATCTCGTTTAGAATGTTCGTCAGGCAATGCTATGTGTTTGGTTTCAATTAATTTTGAACTTATGCAAATTCAGTCTACAATGTTGTGTTAATCCAAGAACTTAATCAAAAGTACCTCGTATATAATCTATATTCGAACTACTGTATAATTCAAATTTTCACAACTTGAAATCGGAAATATTCCAAACGAGTTTTACCTTTTCCCCTTTCCCGGTTAATTTAATATGTTTTTAGAACTTCTTACATAGATTTTTTACGTTAGACTGGTTGTATGTACTTCATACGAGCCACTCCTAAGACTTTTTAATAAATATAATTAATACTTTTATACTACAACATACTATTAAGAAGACGTGTGTTGTTTAAAGACAGTTGCTTTGGCCACATATTTGTAAATGTCAGTAAGCTAAATGCTAGAACTTCTAATGTAAATTTTATAAGGCGTCATTATTTTTCTGACTATGTTTATTATTCTTTAATCGTCATATACCCCAACAACCTGCATGTTAACCTGGTCCGTACAGGCGTTGCATTATATCTCTGTCTTTTAAGTTTAAAAATCATTTGAATCCCCTTTAACATGTTTCACTAAACTCATCATAGTCATTATTGCAATATACGTATTTGGGTTTGTCAACTGGTCTGTCATATTAGTAGCCCAAAAAGACGGACGCGGTTTCATAATAAAGTTACAAATTTAGGTACTATCATGTTGCACTAGTATAATAACTAAACTCTCAGATAATCTTTGGCTAAACAAACTCTGGAGACAACTTTTAAAATTAAAAATATGTAGACGAATATTTTTGAGTTGAAATTTATAATAAAATTAGGCAGCTCGGATTCGTTAACGCCACGAACGTCTGCTATTTTAGAAGCACCTAAAACAACAATGCGTATTTTCCACTGGCTAATCCTTAATCAACGCTATAACTAGTTAAACATAATGGTTTCACGATGTCGTCATAAAACATTGTCATGACATGACAATCGCGTAATATGACTGATAAATTTGGTGAAACTATTGACAAAACCGGCCAACATATTGACTTATAGTTGCCACTAAATAGTATTGTTTTGTCGCGATTATCTTTATCTATTAGAGATGATTTCAGTTTGTTTCTCTAAAGGCTACTCAATCAGTAAATATCTCAAAACCTTGTCAGTCTAGTTGGAGGTTTAGCGACACAATCATGCATGCAAATAATCAGTACAAACAGTCGAACAAATCTCCTGCAAACTGAAATCACTGTTGAATTTACCCCAACACTGACTAAGGTTCAAGCCATTATCATTGACAAGAGTTGGGAATGCACTCACTTTGGTTACAACTTATGTTCTCCTTGATAATCACTTGAACACCACTTGCTCTTAGTCATCTTGTAAAGACTTATTTAACCGAAGACATCGTATAGCACCACGTCATCTACAATTGTGGCACATAAGCTTAGTTGATTTCAACAATTTATAATCACTATATCTCAATTAAATCGTATTCTGCATAATTGCAACTAACTTGCATGTAACATCAGTGTGACGACGGACCATGGATGAACTCGAGGAAGCTGTAGGAGGCTCAGATGGAGCCAAAGATATTCCATCCAATCACCTTTCGGAAGGATATTCTAGAATTCGTACGTGTAGCTTCTCGATTGGACAATGCTATTAACCCCGTGTATGCGGATTGGAGGACTGTAATGATGACTTCGTTCTTACTAAAAACTATAAATACCTGACAATTTCGTACTACAATTGACACTGTTTGTAAAAATATTCCTTTCATTAGTCTTCTGTCTTCGCCTTGTGACTTGGAAGGGTTTTGGCGATCTAGTGCTCAGTTATACGCGGTATATCAAGTAAACAACCTTCTAGATATAACAACTGGAGACGGGGTTATCGTACTAAGATGTCACTTACATTTGAACAACTTGAAGCCTTGCTGAAACGTCAAGAAAAACTTTTCGAACAGTTCCAGATGCGCGTGATAGAGAAGTTAACCCAGAAAATGAACTTGAATCAAAAAGAATTTACAGATGATTCTTTTAAATCTCATGTTGACCACATCATTAGTTCTATCCATGAATTTAATTTCGGTGGTTCGACTGGCATTACTTTTGAAACCTGGTTCAACAAATACGAAGATTTGTTCAAGGTCGACATCAAAAAACTTCATGACGACGCTAAGGTCAGAATGCGCTTACGAAAACTTGGAACTGTTGAACATGAACGTTACAGTAACTTTATCCTTCTAAAGAATCCGAGAGATTTTTCTTTTGATGGAACGATTGAAATTTTGTCGCAGATCTTTGCTGAACAGTCATCCTTGTTTAATACTCGTTAATAATGTCTCAAGATAACAAAAGCAGGTTATGATGACTGGGTGGAGCATGCGGGGTTAGTAAACCGTGGTTTTGAGTGCTTCAAACTATCAGCAATGACAGAAGATAAGTTTGAGTGTCTCGGGTTTGTGTGCAGCCTTCAATCTCCCGAAGATGCCGATATTAGAACCAGAATTTTGAGTAAAATTGAAAAATGTCCGAATATAACACTACAGGAAGTAACCACGGAATGCCAGAGATTGGTAAACTTAAAACACGACACTTTCATGGTCGAAAATAATAGCCAGTTGCCATACTTTTATGCTGTAGGGGGAAAGAAAGATTCCTGCTCAAGAAAATTATCGCACGCAAACAATCAGCCCTCATCCCCTTGTTGGTCATTTGGAGGTTGGCATTATGATAGGTTCTGCCCATATAAAAAACATCGTTGTAGTAAATGTCACCGGAAGGACCATAAAGCAACCGGCTGCAGGAAAAGAACCCATAAACGACATTCTTCGAAACCCTACTCCAAGAAATACAGATCTAGTGCACTAACTAACAAAATATTGACATCACATCACAAATTTACCGCCAACGAAAGTGTGTAAACTTAGATATAAATAAAAAGCGTGCCCGCCTGCAGCTCGACACTGCTTCCGACATCACACTTATTAGTCGAAGAACCTGGAATCCTATCGGAAACCCACAGGTGCTTCCAACAACCCAGTTAGCTCATAGTGCGTCTGGAAGAAAATTAAATATTGTTGGAGAGGTTTGTTATACAGTGTCAAAAGGAAACGCGAAGACGAATGCAACGCTATATCTTACAGAGAACCCAAAACTAGATTTGCTAGGT